TCTAACCCCCCCAAACCCCTCCCCAACCCCCCTGACCCCCCCTGTGCCCCCCAGGACTGCTCTGGTGAGGATGGGGCCTATCCCGAGGGGCTGGATCCCGGGAATGCCGCGGCCTCTCCGGACCCCGGGGCGGGGGCGAAGCTGCCGCCGGTGTTGGCCAACCTGATGGGGAGTGTGGGGGCTGGCAAAGGCCCCCCAGGACCCCCCCCCCAACGCCCCCATCAACATGCAGGAGATCCTCACCTCCATCATGGTAAGGGGGGACCCCAAAAATGGGGGAGGATGGGGAGGGTCACACACCCCTGTCATGGGAACCCCCAAAAATGGGGGGAGTCACACACCCCATCATGGGAATCCCCAAATTGAAGACCCTCAAAAATGGGGGGGGTCACAGACCCCTGTCATGGGAATCCCTGAATTGGGGACCCCCAAAAATGGGGAGGGGGGAGTCAGACTTTGTTGGGGGGGGGGGGGGGGTCACACACCTCTGTCATGGTAACCCCCCAAAATTAGGGCACCTCAAAAATGGGGGAAGGGGGGTCACCCACCCCCATCAGGGACGCCCCGAAGTTTGGGGGGAACTCCCAAATTATGGAATCCCAAAAATTGTGAGGAGTGTCACACACCCGGGGCACCCCAAAATTGCGTGTGTGTGTGAGGGGAGCAGGACAGAAGGGGAGACCCCCTTTTTTCCCCCTCTCACCCCCTTTTTTTCCTCTCCCCCCATCCCAGGGCGGTCCCAGCGGGCACAAGGCCGAGGAGCTGCTCAAACAACCCGATTATTCGGATAAAATCAAACACCTGCTGGGAAACCTGCAGGCCCAGCCCCCGGGGGGGCCCGGCGGAGGTGAGGGGACACCTGGGGACAGGGGGGGACACAACAGGGAACCCCCTCTGTGAGCAGCTGGAAGGGCCTGAGGGAGGTGGAGGCTTGGGGACACCTTGGGGACACTGTCACCAGCCCCAGGGGTGACTTAGGGGTTTCCTTGGCTTGGGGACACCTTGGGGACAATGTCACCAGCCCCAGGGGGGACACGATGAGGGGAGAGCTGGGGACAGTGTCACCACCCCTGAGGGGGATGTTGGGGTGTCCTGGACGTGGGGACACAGCTGGGGACAATGTCCAGTGCCCTGTGGGGGGTCTCAGGGTGTCCTGGGGTTGGGGACACGGCTGGGGACAGTGTCACTGCTCCAGCTGGGGACAGGGGGTGTCCTTGGCTCGGGGACACCGTCCAGGGGCCTGACAGGGATTTTGGGGACACGCTCAGGGGACTGTTGGGGAACACTGTCCCTGGTCCCTGTGGGTGTGTGGGGCTGCCCTGGCCTTGGGGACACTTTGGGGACAGTGTCACCTGCTCCAAGGGGTCCCTCTTGGACCTGCTCTGGGGGGACTTGGGGGTGTCCTTGGCTTGGGGACACTTTGGGGACACTGTCCCCCATCTCAGGGTGACAAGGGGGGGGTCCCTGGGCTGTGACCTGGGGGGGGGGGATCCGGGGTGACCCTGGGGACCCCTGAGGACCTGTCCCCTCTCCTGGGGGGTGACAGGGAGGGGGGGCCATGTCCCCTCCCCCTTGGTGGTGACAGGGGGGATATTGGGGGTCCTTGGGGTCTGGGGACGGTTGGGGACCCCCTCACCCCCTCTGGGGGGACCAGGGGGCTCTTGGGGGGTTCCCCAAATTTGGGGACAACCCCCATGTCCTGTTGGGGGGCTTCCACATCCCCTTAGTCTGTGGACATTGTTGGTGACCCTCGAGTGTCCCTTGGGGTGACACGGATTTGGGAACCCCTTAAATGGGGGTGACCTCGGGGACCCCCGTAAATTGGGGTGACCCTCTTGAAGTGGGGTGACCCTGGGGGGGTCCCTTAACTTGGGAGGTGACCTGGGGGAGGAGCCCCCCAAAATTGGGGTGACCTTGGGGAGGTCCCCTTTAAATTGGGGTGACACAGGGAAGGGATCCCCTCAATTGGGGTGACTTTGGAGGATTTGGGGACCCCTTCATTTGGGGACAAGTTCTGGGGGTCACCCCTTGGAGGGGGGGTGACCTGGGGGAGATCTCCTTAAATTGGGGTGACCCCCTAGAATTGGGGTGACCCAAGGGGGGTTTCCCCTTAAATTGGGGTGACTTGGGAGGGGGTCCCTTAACTTGGGGTCACCTCGGGGGGGG